CTGGACCTATAGAGGATCTTTGTTTAATGATGGATCCGCTTACTGGTCTCAACAGAGGTTATGCGTTTGTCATTTTTGTACAAAAGAAGCACCACAAGTGTGCCCTTCCCCCAGCCTTGAGCAGGCCTAAGAGATGAGACCTTGTTTACCACAATAGACCAAACAATAGGACTCTGGAGGTATGGCCTGGAGGCATTTCCTGCCCTTGGCGAGGCAGTGCTTGCTTTGGCCTTGGCGCCTTTCTGGCTGCCTGTAGCCTGGTACACGAGCTGAGAATAATAGACTGCCTGCTGAGCTTGCTTGAGACATCTCTGGCCGCGATTAAGTATGGATTCCTCTCACCTCCAGCAGGATGTTTTCTGCTCACCTACAGCTGGCTGCAGCAAGAAGGAACTCTGGGGATGGGGGTGGGTTATCCCCTTTAAATTAGAAGCTGAAGATTAAAGCATTGTGCCTTGATCAGAAACCTTTGTCCTGGCTTCATCTCTTCCCACCCTCCTGTCCCTTCCCAGCCTCTCTTTCAGGTGAACCCGGTTGACTGTGGCTGATGGCCCTCAACACACAAGAGGTTGTTAAACTGTATAATAATCATGAAATTTGTTCCGGGAAGCACACTGGTGTCTGCATCTCAGTTGCCAACAATAGGCTTTTTGTGATCTCTATTCCTAAGAGTAAAACCAAATAGATTCTTGAAAAATTTATTGAAGTGACAGAGAGTCTCACAGATGTCATTTTATGTCACCAACCTGATGAAGAAAAAAGAGAGGCTTTTGCTTTCTTGAATATGAAGATAAGAAAACAGCTGCCCAGGCAAGGCATAGGCTAATGAGTGGTAAAGTCAAAGTCTGGGGAAATGTTAGAACTGTTGAATGGCCTGATCCTGACCCTGAAGTTATGGCAAAGGTAAAAGGGCCAACACTGTAACAGAAATTTTAGAAAAGTCGTTTAGTCAGTTTGAGAAATTGGAACCAGTGAGGAAGCTAAAAGACTATGCTTTCATTCATTTTGATGAGAGAGATGATGCTGTCAAGCTTTTAAAAAAAAAAAACAAAAAACTTGGAGGGAGAAAATATTGAAACTGTTTTTGCAAAGCCACTAGATCAAAAGAGGAAAGAAAGAAAAGCTCAGAGGCAAGCAGCAGAGAATCAAATGCATGATGATTACTGCTATTTCGGTCCACCTCATATGCACCCCCCACAAGAGGTCGAGGGCATGGAGGTAGAGGTGGCTATGGATATCCTCTAGATTATTATAGATACAAAGATTATTATGGTTATGATTACCATAAATATCATGGTGGATATGAAGATCCACATTATGGTTATGGAGATTTTCAAGTTGGAGCTAGAGGAAGGGGTGGTAGAGGAGCAAGGGTGCTGCTCTACCCAGAGGTGGTGGGGCTGCTCCTCCCTGAGGTAGAGCTGGTTATTCACAGAGAGGAGGCCCTGGGGCAGGGAAAAGGGGTCAAGGCCAGTCCTGACCTGTTACAATGAAGACTGATTTGTTATATTGGATTATACCAGAAGCTTGCAGTGAAGTAATGGTACGAAAAATCAAGCAATCTTAAATATCTCGGCAGTATAGGAGCATATTCTATTCCTCTCTCTCCCTCTCTCTCTCTCTCTCTCTCTCTCTCTCTCTCTCTCTCTCTTTTTAAAAAAAAATGTAGTTGCTAAACCTATACTCTTGGGTGTTTTTGAAGAAACAGCAGTCCAACAAAACTAAACTGAGTTCATCTCCCATGTAATTTCCTGGAGGGACACACAAGCACACATATTCATGTGCACACACACATCTGTCATATCCTGATACTGAGCTTGCTGTTTCTGATTATCCTGCTTATATATGTCACCTGCTCTGTAAGATCCTTGCCTTTTACCAAACAAGAAAAATAAACAAAAGTCTTTCACCTCTAATCTGCTACCATGTGAATGTGCTCACATTTCTTCTGTGTGAGCCTAGGGGCACGTGTGAGGGTGAAGAGAAGAACGTGTTTTGGAAAAGGGCACTAACCAATCAGTAGTTGTGCCTATCAGGCCATAGTGTCTATTTTTATATAATACACAAAATATGCACTTATATAATGCATGAAAGCATGTCTTTTTTTTGGGGGGGGACCTTTTAAATGATGACTGGTTACTCTCTGTATCAGATCCACCTCATGGGACACTACTTTTAATTTTCTCTGTACTAATTTGGCAGCTTCAAAGCCTACCTCTGAGTCATACAGTATTGAACCATCTTCCATACAAATATGCACAACTCATTAAGTAGCTCAAGGGCACATTTTTAGACTTATTCTTTACACTTATAAAACAGTTTACTGTGAGTTAGTAAAAACTACTATGAAACATATGGTCATGAAGGTCACATCAACAGTCATCCACTAGAATTTATGAAGGATGTGTTTCTGTGTGCAAATAGTGGTTAATAGCACTGAAGGAGACTATCCTTCTTAATCTCTCTCTCTCTCTCTCTCTCTCTCTCTTTCTCTGTGTGTGTGTGTGTGCTTCTCTATGTAGTCCTGCTCAATCTGTAGCTTGCTGTGAAGAGAATACTTGCCTTGCACTCACAGAAATTCCCCTTCCTCTGTCCTGACTCCTGGGATTAAACAGGAATAATTTTACAGTGCTAGTAATTTTAGCACTGGTGGACACAGCAGGATTGGGTTTGAGGTAAGCCTTGGCTACAGAGTGAAACCTATTTTCAAAGAATCAATAGGTAAGAAGGTAAGTAAGTAAATGATTTTTACCACTGATAGTGCTGGAGAAAAAGCCTGCATGTTGGTATTCTTTACCTGTTTTTATTTCCTCCACCTATTTTACTATGCACTGGTACTTGATAAATTAGAATCATTTCCCTCAATAAGGTTGTAGTGTGATCTTTTATACTTAATGCAACTTTTGTCATTTCTATTTTCCTTTTGAGACAAGATCTCACTGTATAATCCAGGCTGGCCATTTAATTGTAATCTTCCTGCCACTGCCTCCCAATTGTTGGTGTTAGAGATGTGCACTACCATACCCAAAACTTTTCTTGATTTATAATTTGGGGATTGGAGAGATAGTTCAGTGGTTAAGAGCACTTTCTGGAGCCTGGAGAGGTTAAGATCACTGGTTGCTCTTTCAGAGATCCTGAGTTCAATTCCCAGCATCTACATGGTGGCTCATAACCATCTGTAATGGGATCTGATGCCCTTTTCTGGTGTCTGAAGACAGCTATGGTGTACTCATATATATAAGATAAATAAATATTTTTCAAAAAGCACTTAATGATCTTGCAAAGGACCCTAGTGTAGTTCTCAGAACCTATATCATTGATTCAACTGAAAAAAAAAAACAATTACAAGAGAGAAAGAACAACATAATATTTTGACTTTTTTAAAAAAGGGATTAATTTAATAGGGGACAGGATGGATAGGTAATGTGTGCACCTATATATTCTGTATTCTATAAGTGCATTTGTCCTTATTGTAGAAAGAAATTTGCATGAACATGTTATTAACAGATTTTTCTTTTTTTTTTTTTGGTTTTTCGAGACAGGGTTTCTCTGTGTAGTCCTGGCTGTCCTGGAACTCACTCTGTAGACCAGGCTGGCCTTGATCTCAGAAATCCGTCTGCCTCTGCCTCCCAAGTGCTGGGATTAAAGGTGTGTGCCACCACTGCCCGGCTAGACGTCATTTTTCTAATATCATTTCCAAGTATGTAACTTAGGAGTGGCATGGTTGTGTCAGTCCCCAAGAAACCTTACATTCCCGTTTTTTATCTTTATGTCCTTTTTATATTATTTTGTTTTCTCCTTGAGACCAGGGTAGGAACTGAAAGGAGCTGCTGGGCTATTTCCTTCCTGTCCTGTGGCTCCTTGTTGTGGCCTGGTCTCCTTGCCCTTTGTTTTACCATTTTTACAGTTCAGAGAATGAACCAAGCTAGGTGGGCTCCTGGTTTTGAATGAGTACACGTAGTAAATAGGAAGACACAACAGGCACATAGCAAAACATCCTCAAATCTACATTTACAGTGATCCTGGTTACTGTTCTATTGCTATGAGGAAACACCATTACCAAGGCAATTTAGGGAGTTGCTTACAGTTTCAAAATGTTGCTCTGTGATCATCATGGTGGGAAGCATGGTGGCAGGCGGGCAGGCATGGTACCAAGGCAGTAGCTGAGAGCTTACATTTGATCCATAAGAAGAAGAGAGAGACACACACATACCTGAACTAGAGAGTAGGAATAAACGTTCAGAGACTGAATGCACTCTACTTGGGCCAATATTTTTATGGTAATTGACTAAAGAGGCTCAGCATTTATCATACTTTCTTAATGTCCACTCCAGTACTCCCCCACAATACTCTGAGGTAGCCATAACTATGGCAGTTCCAATAATTGACTCTGGTATCATTTAATTCAAATCAGCTTCCCGTTATTACATGTGTAAGTTGGCAAGTTAATCTCCCTGTTTACATTAGCTGTTAAGAGTCTATGCATGGACCTTGGTAGCTCTAACAAGCTAGGCTCAGCTATCTATCTTCAATATGTCAAAAAGACAAGCAAGAAAAAAGCAGTGAAAATGATTTACTCAATATGGTCACACTGGGGAGAGGAATGAGTAAAGAGGTTCAACCACTAACATGAGGTTCAGATATTTTTAAAGGTCACAAGATGTGAATAAGTAAGGAGTCCTGGTCACCATAAGTAGCCCCGCTCAGCATAGTCAGAACTGTGTGAAATCCTGCCCTAACTTTCCCACTGGCTCTAGTTCTTTTCTTTTACCCAGCAGACGACCGGGCACAGGGTACGGTTTCAATTCAGTGGGTACCAGAGCGTACGCCTGCTCCGGAGTCCCAAATTCCAGAAGCTGAAAACGTAGTTTGCCGACCCGAAAGAGCCAGGGCGCAGGCGCGTTTAGGCCCCGCCCATTTCCGGAGGTTCGGTGCCTATTGGCCCGGAACCCCGGTGAAGCCCTATGAGGGGTGGTTACGTGATCGGGGCGTGGCTACGCCTCCCGGTCCCAGCTGGTGAGAGCGGCTTGCGTTGGCCTTGTGGCGTGGGTGCACGGCTTCTCCAGGTTAGTATCCTGCGGCTGTCTTGCTGACCATTCGGCATCTCAGCCCCACCCTTCTTCCCTAAGAGACGGTGGGACTGAACCGGCCGCCGCGAAGTGCGCGGCCCCGGAAGCTCCGGCTTGAGGGTCCAGTCACCGGAAGTGCCGCCCCGGGCGGCGGAGTAAGCGTGCAGCGGGTCCTCGCGGTCCTTGGTGGTGAGAGGGTCCAGGCCGGGCGCGGCGCCCTTGTTGTCGTCGTCAAAGAAAAGTTGGGAGGAGAACCTGTAAGACTGTCCTGGAGGTAGTAATGGAGCCAGGCTCGAATGCAGTCTGTAGCCTTCCTGAATGTCTAGAGAACCATGGGCGCTGAGAAGACCCTCCCCCAGCCTTAAGGGCGGAGATTAGTTGAGTTGCCCCGGAATCTGCAGAATCTGTTTGCTTAAAGCATTCCATAATCATTTATTTTTAGCAGCCTTGGTCCTATGTAACTTTGCATTCATATATCGTATTCCTGCAGATTTTAGTGTTCGAGGAATGAATCCTTGATCTCAGAAGTTGAAATAATTATGCGCTATCAGTCACCTGAGAGTTTGGGAGGCAGAGGAAGGAGGATAGGGAACTCAGCTAACCTTAGCTGCCTAGCGAGTTTGAAGCCAGCCTAAGCTACATGAGATTCTCCCCATCTTAACAGCAAAAAATTAAGTGATACAAAAACAAGTAGCAGGAGAAAAACAAGGCCTAGGGCTTTGTTCTGAACTTAAAAATCTTTCAGCTAGCAGAATTCTTGTTATTTAGTATCAGAAAGAAACTGAGCAAAATTTTACTGAAGGATGATGTTTGGATTGGAGAGTTCATGGGACATTATTTAATTGGCCTGCTGTTAAAAAAAAATAAGTTTGCAGTCATGTTCAACATGTTTCTTTTTCTTCAGCAAAGGGAAGAATTAAATATTATGAGTAGTTCTGGATTAGAGACCTTGTGGATCCAAAAGAATAAGTCGTTGGGTTCTTGTTGAGGTAAGTGGCATATATCTCTTTCTATATGAATGTGAATTTTGGAGTAGGGATGGGACAAGAAAGAAGGTAAAGCATACTTGGGAAAAGGAAATGGGTCTTTCTGGTGGTTAGCATAGTGGCCCTTTGATAACCCTTCAGTACACTTACTTTTCTAACAAGCATGTATATTCACAGTAGGTTTGCAATGATTGTCCCTCTTTTGCCATACAAAGAAGGGAGTGTACTCAGTGCTCAGGCACGCTCTAGGATGGATATTTAAACCCTGGCTCTGTTACTTATCTGTGAGTTCTTGGGTAATTAGGTAATTGCCATAGCAACAGGTTTTCTATCAGTAAGATGGTGGTAATATCTGATTTTACAGTGTTCTTGGGAGGATTAAATGTCCATAATCCATGTAATCAATGAAAATTGAGGCAATCCCTGATCTGAGGCTGTACAGCAAGTATGGCTTTTAAGACAATACCTTTAAATATTTACTGTTTGATCATCCCATATATCCTTTAACCGAGAAGATTCTTGTGCTCTGAAGTTCTGTTGCTCAGCCTGTCTATTTGAACTTTTGTCTGCCCTTTGCTTATGAAATGCAGTCTGATGTTGCTCATGAAAAAACAGAAGTCCTCCCTTCCTAGGAGGGGTAAAGGAAGTGTTTAAGAGACAGTAACCTGGAGTAGGGATTTGGAGGATGTGCTCGTGTGTGCTGGATGCACATTGGAGACCCAGGGATTAATGATATTCTTTTTTCAGTCTGAGACTTGTTTACTTGGTGTTTTTTTTTTTAATCGTTTAACAGATATATTCTAAATGTTACAGATATTGCAGTAACCAAAAGACAAAATCCTAACCATAGTAGATGTTATCCTGTAGTAGGAGAGACGAACAAGGGAACGTACATAAAGTACATGTCAGAAAGTTGGATAGTCATGCTGAGAAGTAAGGTGGTGTGAAGGGACATAAAGTCTTTTAGGGAAGGTAGTCAAGGTGTGCTGCTTTTTCAGGTAATATGTTTCAGGCAGCTGCTTAAATTGGATAATGGAGAAAGCTACATGGAGGGACAGAAGAAACAAAATTTTAGGCAGAAGAAACAAAATTTTTTGAGGTGCCTGTGAAGATGAAAATGGCAGAAATTCCATAGTATGGAAGGCAGTAAAAACCTTGGATTTTATTGTAAATGTGTTAAACAGAATTTTTATACTTGGGAAGTGTCATTCTGTTTTGAAGATTGACAGCCAGATCATATTTTATTTCCATATGAAAATTGTTTTTCCTGGTTTAAAATTGGTTTTCTGTTTGTTTTTCTTGTGCACCATAGTTTCTTGGCTATTGAGAGCAATTGTGATGCTTTGGGCTGGTAGTTTAATAAGATAATCTGATCCATTTCCCAAACTATGAGCAAACTCAGTTAAAGAGCTGAGGCAGGAGGATTAGAAGTTACAAAACTAGCTAGCTTGGGCAACCTAGGGAAAAACCTTTCTCAAAGTGTACAAAGGATAGGGCATATAGCTCAGTGGTAGAGTATGAAGTGTGTGTAGCTCTTGAGTTCAATGCTTGTCACCTGAGACAGTAACAAACCAACATACTGTATTTTTGTTTGAGCATTTCTGTGTTTTAGCTCAACAAAGATACCTATTGTAGGTTTGCAAGCCCTGTTATCTACAATGTCTCTTGATTCCATTCAGTGATGAATGGTATCTAGAACCTGGAGTCTTAGTATTTAATACATACATTATTGCTGTACTTGAGAGCAGACATTACTAGGATAAAAGCCCTTTTTCATGTGTACACTATACAGCTTCTGTATACAGTACAAACTGTGACCTCATGCTGATACTGCCCTTTAATTCTAGTTAACCACAATACAGAGTTTTTTCTAATCTTGTTCTTTTCTATTTGTAATTTCCTTCTGTAACTGGGGAATCTATGTTCCATTATCCAACTCTGGTATGCATACTAACTAGTATGTACTATGAGGAAAAGCCCCATAAATAGGGTTCAGTAATTGTATATATACAGTTTGGGAGGCTGTGTGTGCCTCTGATCTCAGTACTAGGGGTGGGAGTTTGAGGCAAGCAGATCAGAATTCAAGACCTGCCTGAGCTATATAATGAGCCAATTTCTCAAAAAAAAGTAAAAGAAAATTAAAAAAAAAATGTTGTCTTTAGCTTGAGTTTATATAGTTTCATACTATGTAAGAGTTATTTCTTTCCTTCTTTTGAGTGATCATGTTTTGTTTGAAACAAACTGTCTTTTGGTTTGTTTTGAAACAGGGTCTCAGTTTGTAGGCCAAACAGGCTTGGAATTTTATAGCCACGGCTAGCCTTAAATATTCACCAGTTGTTCTCCTTATCCTCCCAAGTTCTGGGATTACAGATGTGGGCCCCCACACTCAGCTGTCATTTGCTTTCTTGTGTCGTTTTACAGGTCTCCTACCTCCTGCCTCCTTGGCACTGCTAGTGATAAGGGCCTAGGGCCCTACACGTGCTGCACTACAGAGCCCTATCCCAGGCCACCCATGTATTTCTGTTAAATATATACGTATGCAGAAATATGTTAGAGAAATATGGTATGTCGTCCTTCGATTAACATCAGTTCTGTCTTCCTAGGTTTTGATCCCAGTTTCACCTATGTTGTGATGATCAAGTACATTAGTTTCTTATTTTTTCCTAATTTATTTTTGACCAAGTCAATAAGTACATTTTTTTTAGTATTTTTAAAATATAGTTTTAAATATAGTTTTTTAAATTTCTGATTTCTTACACAAAATATAGCATTTGCTTGTATTTTAAAATTTTTACAGTTGAATGCTAAGGGAGTGGCAGCACACACTGCCTTTAATCCCAGCATTTGGAAGACAAAGTCAGGTGTGTTTGAGGCCAGCTTGGTTTACAGAGAGAATTCCAGGACAGCCAGGGTTACATTGAGAAACTGTGTCTTGAAAAACCAAAACAAAAAATATTTTAAAAATTTACAATTGGAGTTGGAGAGACAGCTCAGTTGTTAAGAACATTTTCAAAGGACCCAGGTTCAGGTCCCAGTACCCACTTAAGCTAACAATAGACTGTAACTCCAATTTCTGAGGATTTGATACATTCATTCTGGTCTCTTTGGGCATTGCACATGTATGGTGCATGTACATGGTGTGGTGCATGGTTTGAATGACAATGGCCCCCACAGGTTCATATTTCAATACTTGTGTGCCTCCCCCCCCACCCCACCCCCCGAACTGTTTGGAAAGGATTACCCGTCATGGTACTAGAGGTGTGTCACTAAGACTAAGCATTGAAGCTTCAAAATATGTCATTCTTACTTAGCTCTTTTCTGCCTTCTACTTACAGATCATGATGTAAGCTTTCAGATATGCCTGACATCATGCCTTTGTTCCACCATCATAGAATCTAACACTCTAAAATCATAAACTCAAATTAAATACTGACTAACTGCCTTGATATCTTTTCCCAGCAATAGAAAAGTAAGAAGATAGTGAATATACATCTGTGCAGGGAAGAAGAACTCATACACGTAAAATATAAGTAAATCATAAACAAACAAACCAAAGGAGGAGGGGAACCAACAAAACAACTTTACAGTTTGGACTGGAGAGATGGCTCAGCAGTTAAAAGTGCTTCCTGCTCTTCCAAGAGGACCTGAGTGCAGTTTCAAGCATTCTTGTCAGGTGGCTCACCACTGCCTATAGTTCAGTATAGGGGGACCCTCTTCTGGACTCCTCATGCACCTGCACACATGTAACATACAGAGACATAGAGAGAAAGAAAAAATTATTTTGGGTGTTTTGTTGGCTAGTTTTATGTCTGATACAACCTAGAATCCTTTTAAAACAGGACTCCTCAGTTGGGAAACTTGTTCTCCCAAGTAGCTGGGATTAAAAGCCTCTGCCCCAAGGCCAGGAAAAGTACCAGTATTTTGATTTATAACTAAATTTATAAGAGCTAGAGAGATAACCCAGTAGTTTAGAGCACTTGTTGCTCTTGTAGAAGACTTGAGTTCTATTCCAATAACCTATATGGTGGCTTACGGTTCCAGGGGATTCTTCTCTGCCCTCTTTGACCAGGCATGTACTGTTGCACATACATACATGCAAGCATAAAGGTGAACAAAACATTCACACACATAAAATAAAAATATTTTTTAAAAGTACTTTGTTCTATTCTCTAGATCACTGCTTTCCAAGTTTATGTTCATTATTTTCTTCAACTTACTTCTCAGTATTTGATCTAAGACGTTTATGTTTATTTAATTATTTAATTCTTTTAACTGTCTTTCTTCCAGTACTTATACACGTAATGGTTATCCTTTCTAGAGTTGAATCAATGAGATTCCAAAGAAAATTTGTTTGCTTTTTTTTTTGTTTTTAAAGGTTCTTTTGAAATTTCACTTCATGTATATGAGTGTTTTGCCTGCAGATGTGTTTGTGCAGCATGTGCATGTCTGGGGCCTCTGCACAAGAGTATTGGGTACTTTACTTTTGAACTAAAGTTCAGATGGTTGTGAGACACCATGTGAGTGGTAGGAACTCAACCTGGGTCTTCTGGAAAAGCAGCAGATGCCCGTAATCGCTGAGCTATTTCTGCACCCTCGACTGGTGTTTTCAAGGGAAATATTTATTCACTGCTAAGTTCATTACGTGTAAATGATCTAGTGTAAACTTTTTTTTTTTGTACTTGTGTTTTACAGAATGCTGTTTTTTTTAATTTCCATTTTCTCAAGACCATAAAGTAAATGCTGCTTTTCATCTGTCTACATTACCGGTAAGCTACATTTTTCTTCAGTCTTATAAAATTGACCTTCTTCTTTTCAGTCTGTACCTCACCAGAGTATGCGGGAAAATAGATTTTTTTAATTCTATTTTTAATTATTATATTATGTTTTTGGTGTTTTGCTTGCATGAAGGTCTGCGCATCATGTAGGCCCATTGCCCATGGAAGCCAGAAGAGAGTGTTGATGCCCTGGAACTGGAGGTACAAAAGGTTGTGAGCTGTCATATGATTGCTGGGAATCAAACTTGGGACTCGGGAAGAGCTGCCAGTGTTAACTGCTGAGCCATCTCTAGCTCAGGGAAACAGAATTCCTTTGAAAATCCATTTATGACAGTAAGTTCTTCTTAAACACTGTCTATATACTTAGAACTACTCTACTGGGGAAAGCACACTAAAAGCGTCTTTCCTATACTTAACAGTATACAGTAAGCTAATAAGTGAATTATAGAGTGTATTAGAGTGTGATAAGTGCTCTGGGAAATGATAAGGCAGGAAAAGTGATATATAGCTTTGTCATTAGAGATTCACAATATTAGATAGAGTGGCCAGAAACAGTTTGATTAAGAAGTGATAACTGAAAATACAGTTATTGGGGTATTGAGAGAGCCATGGTCATACCTGAAGCAAGTATACCAAAGTCAGAAGAAGTAAAGGGCACAAATCCCAAGTAGAGAATGTGTAGAAGAGAAACAATTTGGGAAGCCATTATGGCCTGATCATACCCTGTAAGAAGACTGAGGAAGAAGTCAGGTGGTGGCAGAGAATGGCATGGCAGCTCCAGTTGGGGCTCTTGGGCTATTGTAAAGATTTGAATGGAAGAAAAAAATATTGAAAGAACAGAAGTCTGTAATCTAGCTTTCTGTTTTAACAGGATTAGACTGGCTGCAGAGTAGAGAGTGTAGAGAGGGTAACAATACACAGATAGCTTGTTAGCTTGTTAGAACTACTATAAAAGACATACTATCATCTGAGTGTTTCAGACAACCAAATTTTGCTCTTTTTTTTTTCACACTCTGAAGACTAGAAATCCAGTATCAGTTTGTCTGGAAGTCGCCTTGCCTTACACCAGCTGCTTTCTCACTGTCCTCAGAGTCTCAGTCTGGATGTGCTTCTTGGCCAGCTCTGAGTATCCTAATCTCTAGTTAGAGGAACATTAGTCCAGTCGAATCGGAGCCATTCATATGGCCTCAGTCATTCTTTAAAAGATCATATGACTAAATATATCACATTTTGAGATGGTAGGGATTAGGAATGGTGTGCAGTTAGGCCTATAACAGAGAAGAATTCCCTAAGAAGTAATTATAATAACCCACAGAAGTAAGAGTGGTTTGAACCAGATTGGTAGCAGCAGAAATGGACGAAAAAGATATGGATTTATGAATTTTTAAATGAAGTCAACAAATTCTTGGCACCTTGATTGTGAGGTATAAAACAAATGCAGGGTGATCTTTCAAATTTTTGGGTTAGTTGAGAGCTTTCTGTCACTGTAAAGAAGGCCTTTGCTTGATTGCTTTGACTGTAAGGCAAGATTAGATTCTAGATAGGTTCTAGGCTCTTGTTTTTCTAAACTCAGCCTCATATAAGAAAGTAGGAATAATATTCTCTGATGTTTTAGGATTAGAGGATTGACTGTGACAGGGACAAAGCATGCTCTTTGCTCAAGATGTTGTTAAAGATTTTTCTGATAACTTTCCTAAAAGGCCTTGGGTGAACAGACAAGCAAATGAGTGTATGATGTGGATTCCTTCCACCGGGCAGTCCATTAGCACTCTGACATCCTCCAAGCATGAATAGACAAAGTGAACTTTGATTCACTATCTTGGTTAGAAAAACATAGAGAAGTATTTGCTTACGTGATGAGGGTGGGTATTTTATTGTCTAACAAGGATTCACTTGATGTGTTTTTGCACTTCTAGGATACTATCAGATGAACAGAGAAAAGGGGCTTAGAGTATGAGGAGTTTCTCTGTGATGCCAGGAGACATCTGAATGATGGCAACTACCATGCAGAATGTTGAAAATCTGGACACAATCACTGTTTAGCACAACTATGTCTATGCTATTTAGCTCACATTTCTCAAGGACTATTTGCCCCTCCTTATACTTGCGAGCCTTCTAGCACATTGGTGTCTCACTCTGTCCATCTGCAGCACAAAGCTACATATCCATTTGCCGTGTGTTCAGCTCTCATGTCCTTCAAAGCTAAATTTTAAAGCTTTTCCAAGTGACTTTGAGAACACTGGCATTTGTTTATAGGTATTTTTTTCTATTGATTAAATTTATCACTCACTGTAATAAGCAAGAGCAATGTCTATGCTTTTCATAAAGAAATAATAAAAATTTCTGAATAAAAACTAGAAAACTGGAGTTAGTAAATTGATGAAATAAGAAGTCATCTACTATCTCATTAGCAGAGGTAAACATGACCCTAATGTGCCCCTGAGATCCTTTTGCAGTGTTTTCTCGAAGTTCTGCTCCATTTTTATTTTTTAGTGTGCTATATTTGGTGAGCTTTTTCCATTTGCTAACATGCCTTTTTTTTTGTGAATTTTGATATTTTTTCATTTACAGTTTTATCTGTAGGCTCTAGGCCAATATCTGTTTCTTGAATATTTAGCTTTTATGATAAATTGTGAACACACTTCCTAGAAAAATAGACTTAAAGTGAGCAACAAATAATTTATAGGTTATACAGGAGTCTATAGACACCAAATAAGATCTGTTGTAAATTTGAGAAGTTCACATGTGCCAGGTATTGTCCTAGGTGTTAAACAACAGTAAACAAATTGAATAATAGTAATGGAAATGTGTGTGGGGATTCTTGTCTATTAGGCTCATATTCAGCAGAGAAAAAAAATTAAATAGAAAGATGAAAAGGGTGTTCTATGAGTTGGGGTGGTGATTAAGGTGGTCAGAAAAGGCCCCAATGAGAATGTATAACAGTTGAGCAAAGATTTACATGAAGTAAGAGAGAAGCTTTGAAGATAGTCTAGAGCAGAAGTCCTTAGGCAAAGGAGGGAGGGAGAGATGAAGGACACGGAGACCCTGAAATGGAAATAGTTCTGCTTGCTTGAACCATGGCCAAGACCAGGGTGACCAGAGTAGGGGAACAGTAATGACTCAAGATGAGAACTAGGGGTCAGGTGTCCTTGATGTTTGTAGGTTTCTAAAGGAATCAGGGTATAAGTTAAGGGTGAATGTCTTAATTGGAATATGTATGTTCCAGAAACTCTAGAAGACAAGAACCAGAGACAGTTAACAGATAGTTTTTCTTTTGGTGAGTTCTAATATAAAGGAGAACAAAACAGGAAGAGTAGTTTGAGGCTAAGGTGGTTGAGAGAACTTGCTTGTTGGTTTTGTTTTTTTAAGAAGAGAGGATAGCCTCTTTACTAATTAGAATGATTCTGTAGAAAGGAATAAATCGATGATGCAGAGAGTGATGGCAGAACAGCTGTCAGGATGCAGTTGTGAAAACAGATGGAGTCCCAAACACAGATGAAAGTTTGTGGATTGACCAGCAGCAGCTTGGCATCCTCGGTGAGAGTAGGAAGCGAGCTCTGCTTCGGCACACCTGCAGGCAGTTTGCTAGGTGCTGGCAGTGACAGAGAGGGGTGCTGTTTGGCTTTACACTGATGGGTATGCAATCTCATCTGCTGTTCACTTTGATTCTCTTAGTAAAATAAAGTGAAAAGCTATATTTACATCACTAAATAAGTCAATGATGCTTTATGAAAAACGTTACACAAGACAGTAAGTGTGAAGGACTGTGAGGATGCTCATCTTCAGTTTGTTCACGTCCTAAACAGGTACACTGGTTATCAGACATGTCCTGACTTCCCAGCTAAAGGAATCGAAAAGAACAGCCCAGGGTAGCCTTTTGTTTATTTACTTATGTGTGCAAATGTATACACTTGGAGGTCAGAAGGAAACCTGTGGGGATCAGTTTTCTTCTTTCCCCATGTAAGCCCAGGGGATCAAGGTCAGGCCAATGGGCTTGCTGCTTCTCACTGAGCCATTGTGCTGGCTCAGAGCCCTGGTTTTCAAATTGGTTTTCAATTCAGTTCATAAAAGAATTGAGTTCCTATTGGTAGTTTATCATGTTTGATGTTTGTCATGTTTGTAATAGCCGAAAAGAAAACCATAGATTGAGCATACCGCAATCTAAAGTAAAATATGAAGTACTCCTAAATTTGAAATATTTTAAGTGCCAAACTATGAAAATTTAATGCTATGAAAATTTCAAATAACAAACTTTGTTTTAGTCACAAAATTATTAAAAATATATGAGGGCTGCTGGTCAGATGGTTCAGTGTGTAAAAATGCTTGCCATGGAATTTGAGCCTTAGGGTGCACATGAAGGTGGAAGAAAAGAACAAACTCCTCAGAGTTGTCCTCTGACTCCAGTCATGCACTGTCGTACAGGCACAATAACAAGAATTTGGTTTTAATTTAAAAATACTTTATAAGGGCCTGGAGAGATGGCTTGGGGTTTAAGAGCACTGTCTACTCTTCCAGAGAACCCAGGTTCAATTCCTAGCACCCACATGACAGTTTACAATTGTCTGTAACTCCAGTTCCAGGGCATCTGACACCCTCACACAGACATAGGCAAGCAAAAGCACCAATTTACATTAAAAACAAAACAAAACAAAAAAACCTTTATGAATTTGTCTTCAGGTTCTGTGTTTAAGATGAGTATGAAACCTGAATGAGTGTTTTGTTTAGACATGCATCCCATCCCCAGAGCAAATCTTTATGTATATGTAGATATTTAAAAATCTTAGATCCAAAAAATTCTGTTCCCAGGTACTCTGGATAAGGGTTCCATGTAAAATTTACAGTTTATCCTCCCCCTCTCTTTTCTAGTTCTCTCCCTTCCTTTCTTTGCATTTGTTTCGTGTGTCTAGGGGTAGGTAGGTGCTGCATGACACCAGTGTGGATATTGGAGGACATTCAGTTCTCAACTTGTATCATGTAGACAGGTTGTGGGAATAGGACTCCTGTCATCAGGTTTAGTAGCCATTTCACCAGCCCCAGTTTCTCTCAGTTTTTACCACAGTGATTTTGGCGTTGAGACTTTTTAGTGATAGAAATATAAATAATATTTCTTCTTTGTCTCATAGGTTTGGAGGTACCAAGTAAGAAAGTAATATATATGATGCTGGAAATTTTTAAACACAAACTGCTAATGAATGAAAGGCTTAAAATAGATACATTTTTGAAGTTAACAGAAAAATGACTGTGAAAACAGGGATCAAGAAGACTGATGGAAAACCACTTAGGAGGGAACCATAGAAGATGTACACTTCAGAAGAGAAATGTAACCAGAGAACTCAAAAAAGGAAGATATACCATGTATGCCCTCAGAAGGGGAAAAAGATTTATATTCATGTGCATGAGATTACTCAAATAGATAATCAAACATATCAGTGCCTTGAACGTGAACAAAACTTAGCACGAATGTGTGAGAGAACATACTCTGGGGAGAAACCTTATAGATGTGATATGTGTGAGAAAACCTTCATCCAAAGTTCAGATCTTATTTCCCACCAGAGGATCCATAATTATGAGAAACCTTATAAGTGTAGCAAATGTGAGAAGAGCTTTTGGCACCACTTAGCCCTTTCAGGACACCAGAGAACACATGCAGGTAAAAAGTTTTATACCTGTGACATCTGTGGCAAGAATTTTGGTCAGAGCTCTGATCTGCTTGTCCACCAACGAAGCCATACAGGTGAGAAACCTTATCTGTGTAATGAGTGTGATAAATGCTTCAGTCGAAGTACAAATCTCATAAGGCACCGAAGAACTCACACAGGTGAGAAACCGTTTAAGTGTCTGGAATGTGAAAAAGCTTTTAGTGGAAAATCAGATCTTATTAGCCACCAAAGGACTCATACTGGTGAAAGGCCCTACAAATGCAATAAATGTGAGAAAAGTTACCGACACCGGTCTGCCTTCATTGTGCATAAAAGAGTTCATACTGGGGAGAAGCCGTATAAGTGTGGTGCCTGTGAGAAGTGCTTTGGCCAGAAATCAGACCTTATTGTACACCAGAGAGTCCATACAGGTGAGAAACCATATAAATGCTTGGAGTGTATGAGAAGTTTTACTCGCAGTGCCAACCTAATTAGGCACCAGGCAACTCACACTCATACTTTCAAATGCCTTGAGTATGAGAAAAGTTTCAACTGTAGCTCAGACTTTATTGTACATCAGAGAATTCATATGGAAGAAAAACCACATCAATGGGCTATGTGTGAGAGTGACTTCCTCCTAGGTATGGACTTCGTTGCCCAGCAGAAAATGAGGACTCAAACAGAGGAACTCCATTATAAATATAGTGTATGTGATAAAAGCTTTCATCATAGCTCAGCCCTTCTTCAACATCAGACAGTGCACATTGATGACGACTACATCTGTGATATGAGTGAAAAAGGGCTTGATCTCAGCTCTCGAGCATCGGAAACCTCACGGATGTCTTGACAAGAAGTCACATAACCTTAAAAATATATTTACATATCAGAATTCAATAAAAGAAAGACTCCTAGGTAAATTTCAAGATTTCCTTTAGATCTCAGACTTCCTTGGAGTCCAGAGAAAGAGTCTATAGTCTTTGGACTGTAAGAAAAGCTTTAACGCAGAGAGTGGCCTTGCCAGGTTATGTTTATTAGCCACACTTGTGCAGAACTCCACAAATGCTCTGGGTTTTGGAAAACCTTCCTCAAGATTCATACAGGTAGGAAGCCTCACAAAGTAGTATGAGAGGTCTCCAGCAGTGTTAAGTCCTCTAATTTTTACAAGACAATTCACACCAGAGAACGACCATATAAATAAATGTTTTGTATTGGCAGTACGTCACACAGTATGTACGCCTTATTGGAAAGTTCACCTGAGAAGAAGCCCCAGACATTACAGGAGAAAGCTTCTAATAGAACTCTGACTTTCTTACCCCTCAGAGAAGTGGTACTGGGGTAAATGGGTATTTTAATGTGGCAAAAACACGTTGGAGAGTCATACTTGGGTTTGCATCCTCCTAGACAAAAATCAGAGGAACAATAAGTGTCTGAATGAAGAAAGCTTATTAATTTTCAACTCTTGGGGCACACCAGGGAACTCACATTAGTGAAAACCCATAAATGCATTGTGTCTGAGGAGCTAGAAAGAAGCTCTTGTCGAGTCAGGCCCCAGAGGACGAGTTCTGTGGAGTTGTTCCAGTAAGAGATCTAATTGTGTGAGAATCTGTATATATACTGTGTATGCAAAGAGCTGTTCTCATAGTTGAACCACATTGTCCGAAAAAAAAAAATGAAAAAACTAGAGTTGTATGGAAATAATGTCTTAGCAACCCAAAAGCTTTTCTGGAGGAGCTGGGGCAGGTCAGCGTGGATCTGGAGGGTAACTCAGGTAAAGATGCTTTTCTTTTGTCTCAACCACTTAATGATTGCTTTAGTTTCTCTTTAAAAGTTTCATAAATCCAATAAAGGAAAGAACTATAATCTTGTGTATACTTATACTTGTGTATAAGTGGTTTATTGTTGGCAGAAAGCAGTGCTTTGATTTTTGCTTCCTGTTTGGTTTTCTTGTTTGTTTCTTAAAATCTCTTGGCTAGAATGGGAATGATGTGTTGCTAAGAAGCTAGGGAGTACTTAGTTTGGGTTAAAATTCTTAGTTTCCGTTTGGTATGATCAACCTCAGCAAAAAGTAGAATATTCAATTCTTTGGTTAGTGTTGACATCTGCCCTCAGAATTGTACTAAGATGTCTAAAATTGACCTCAAAATTTCTTTTTGAGTTATCACTGGGGTTGCTGAAATTTCATATTTATAGATTCACTTATTTTCAAGTTGAAATAAATTTTAGGATACTGGTTATGATGATGATACAGTATTCAGGTTTTTGTGACTTGCTTCATCTCTTTTAGTGATAGATACTGTAACAGCTGACTTAGAGCAGAAGGAATAGGGGACAAGTTGTAAGCCAGAGAAAGTAGAGGAGAGACGGAATGAAACATTTTAATAGAGAAACAGGACACTGATTTTGAGGGTCCTGACTCCAAAGATAATTTTCTTCTTCAGTCTGTTATCCTGATACTTTCACCAAATTAAGCTTCATAATGACATTTTTTTCATTTATTTCAGTTCTATCAAGGAAAGAAAAATACAGTTTAATTCCAGGGAAAGGATTGCAGTCAACACAATATAAGGTATATTCTTGGTTTGGAATGCAGGATTCTAAATGTTAGAATAAGCAGTCAGCAGATTGACCTGAAGTTTAAGGATAAATATGTGTTTCCAGTCCAGTAGGGTAACTGATTGTCTTTCAAATTCTTTGGATAGCTCATGACCCAAGCATCTGTCACTTCTCATTTTCTTTCCTTGACTTAAAAGACTTAATACAAATATTATCAAGTTCCTGCATATTTGAGACTGTATAGATTTATAATTATTTTTATTACAAATCACAGTCCTGGTTTTATTGTAATCTGTTTAGTGAACCCCTGAATTCCAGGGGGTATTAATGTTTGGAGTCACGAAATTGGTTTGGTGCTACCTTACATATGACTGTAAGCTCTCAACCTGATAATTGTTGGATAATCATAATCTTAAGGCCAGTGATTTAGCTTAGTAAAGACTCTGGTTCAAGTATTTTTTTTCCTTTTAGAAAACTGATTGTGTCAGTTGTTTTGTTCATTTTTGTTTTTTGTTTGTTTGGTTTGGTTTTCTGAGACTGTTTCTCTGTGTAGCCATGGCTGTCCTGAAACTAGTTTTGTAGACCAGGCTGGCCTCAAACTTACAGAGATCCTCCTGCCTATGCCTCCCTAGTGCTGGGATTAAAGGCATACTCTACCACCACCTGTCTCTGTGTCAGATTTTTTCATCTAACATGTTCCAGTAATTTTATAAATAATTTTAGTACTATGAAAAAATCCATTATGATAAATACACATGAGATGTTTATTTTTCTTTTTGGGGAAAATCATGCCTATCACTAGAAGAAGTTTGAAAATTGTGATATTTCACATATTACTGGGTGTATGACAATGGCAATTTAAAAAAAAAGTCATTATAATAGACCATCAGGAAGGAGACAAAGCTTACAACAATAGTAGGTTGGTGATTTACCCTTCCTTCAGCCTGTCTCACTGGTAATTGTTGATAGTCTGAAATTAAATTAACAGTGGACTATTCGTCAAGTAGAACTTTGAGGATGTAAAACAGGCTTGAGGCTTTTTAACTGTGGTTAGAATGTGTTGATAGTACATAACATAACCTGAGGTTGGAGAGGACCACATGGGAGCCTGTAACCAAAGCTAGAAGGTAACTTCTGGAATGGATGGAGGTTCCCTTGAAGCAGTGCCAACGCAAATCTACCTCAGGTAAGTAGTCAGAGTAACTTTTTCAAGATTTCAGACCAAATGAGGTAAATTATGTTCCATCCGTGTACTCCTCTATGCTTATTGTTTTTGTTTGCCTTTAATTCTTAAATAAAGATTTGTTCTGAAATACTCCATTTTTGTCTCCACTATACTATGAGAAACTAACATGTCTTCTACATTTACACTGGGGTCCTTAATGATGCAATGTGTAGATGGTAGCCATAACCATTGGACAAGGACAAAAGGCAGCACATTCTTTGCCAAAATATTACAAGAAATATCTCTAACCCCATTGCTAATTGTTTTCATCTCTGAAACCTCTTGAGGATAGCTCTCAGAACTACTGTCTTCCAAGCTCTAAAGTATGATGGGTCATTAGGCTCTGCTTATAGAATTCAACTACTTCTCAAGTCCCAAATCCCCAAGTCTGCTACATTCCTCAAACAAAACAAAACAAAACAAAAACCTCTCGTGGTTGGGTTTGTCACAGCAATAGCCCTGGTACCAAGTTCTGACTGACTTTTAGATTGCTATATAGCACGCCATGGCCAAGATAACGTATTAAAGAGTTTAATTTGGTTTACAGTTTCAGAGACATAGAGTCCATGATAGTAGAGACAAGGAACAGCTGAAAGGTCACATATTGAGTCACAAAACTTAAAAAGTGTTTTTTGAAGCCTCAAAGAAGCAGTGTTTTTTGAAGTCTCAAAGCCCATTCACTCCATGTGAAACTGGAGACACTAGACTGCATTTACCCTTTGACCAGTCAGATGATGAGCTCGTGGGAAAACACAGCCTAAGATATGGGAGGTCAAAATTGGGGTTCCTTGATTCCCGGATGGACGTTCAGTTTCCACTGGAACAAAGTAGTCAGGAAAAGAGGGTCAGGGGTCCTCAGGCCTGCAATGAAAAGCCCGGGGTCAGTTCTTGATGAAAGAGGCATTCCTTGGTTTCAAACTATTGATTGTTCATCGTGGAAAATGGGTGCATGCCATCTCCTCAGGATGGACCAGAGCTTTAAGTATCCTTTGCAGGGAGGACTGTCTATAAAGGGAAGCACATTGGCTAAACCCTCGTGGTCTCTAGATACTTCATTAGTATGGAGAACTGTGTTCTGATATGCCAAAGGTCCTGTTGCTATGTAGGGAGTGTGACCACATGACAGGGGCCTGGTTGGAAGCAGTTGAAGCTCCAGGATGAGGTTCTGGGGCTTCCAACCCACTCACCCTTACCACGTTTACTGGTACGTTCCATTGCCCCACAATACATTACTCAGAAAGTATACATGGGAAGATTAGGAGTTTGTCAGCCTGATCTACATGAGAGCCTCAATCAGTATAAAAGAGGGACTGTTGGTAGTGACTGGTAACATCAAATTGAAGATTAAAATCTAACAGGGAGTGAAGACTATCTTAGAGTAACTATTTGGAACCCTGTTTTTAATTACTAGGAAATCTTATTCTCAGGATTCATGGTTTTATAATTGACAAATTGCTTTATTATGAGAAGCCTTTTAGTGCAGGACTCTTGAACCCATCATCTCTTCTAAATGGACACTATAGTCTTACAAGTGAAGGGAATAAGGACTGCTTTGAGAAGCATGGCAGTTGGCTCAAAGGCAGGAAGGCCTTAGGAATTACCTAAGGAAGGTTAACCTGCAGCAGTTCTTTTTTCAGAGAAGGACTGCTGAGGGAATTGTATAAAATAGCTGCTTTCTGTCTTTGCTGATGCCCTAACCTACACGGCATTGTATTCATACTCATTGCTCCCTGTGGTTATCTCTTTTACTGGGAAATAATACCTGGCAGTCACAGACCTGGCTACTTGACAACACACACTTATCCTGTCTTCTCCCAAGGAAATTAGTTCCTTGACTATTTTAACATGTCAAACCCTCCTTCTACTTATCCAACTACATTGTCTTTAGTAACCTCTAGAATCTTCTTTCATGGTCTCATCTGATTCTTTGAGGTTTTTCCAATCTTTACAATATGTCTAGATGGCTTTTAATTTCCTGTTGAAAAAAAAAATTGTTCTACAGTTTACTCAAAATTAGTTTTGATGGGCAGTGGTGGTGCATGCGTTTAATCCCAACACTTGGAAGGCAGGGGCAGGCATATTTCTGAGTTCAAGATTAGCCTGGTCTACAGAGTGATATCTAGGACATACAGGGATACACAAAGAAACCCTACCTACATTCTGGGTGAGGGGCCGTCTACTGAAGTATGGTTACTCTGCAAGGAGCAAAACCTTTAATGAGAACTGACTATATCCTTCCCCAGAATTCAAAGTATCCATATTTCTTTAGTTAAGAATGAGAGCACACAGCCCACTTCCTGTTCTGTTCTAGACTATTAACTGGCTTGATTTTGAGCAGGTCTTATGCAGTGAACCACTGGCTCTGAGTTCGTAAGTGCAGAGTCTTGTCATATCTAGAAGACATTTTTTCACTCTGGTCTTCATTGACCTTTGCCTCTTATAATGTCCTTCTTCCCCAATAATTACTGTGATTTGGAAAGGGGTCTGATACCTCATTTATACAGCCAACCATTCCACAGTCACTTTTTCTCTGCTTTGACTACTTGTGAGTTTCTTCACACAGATTTCTCTTATGAGCTCTCAGAGCTATCTTTTTTTGGTAAACTAGGGGTGGCTTCAGAAGAGGGTTTCTTTGTATGTAGCCCTGGATGTCCTGGAGTTAGTTCTATAGACAAGGCTGGCCTTGAACTCACAGACATCTGTCTGCTTCTGTCTCCCAAATGCTATATTAATATATAATAAAGCCCATCTGAGCTATATTAATGCATATATATGAATTTAGAAGTCAGTTTGATACTGTGTTCATGTAGCAGAATAATACTAGTAGGTTCACCACTGGGGCCCAAAATCCTTAACCATGGGTTCTCAAACAGATTAAGTGAATCAAGCCTGGGTTTTTTTGCTTGTGGATAGCCTTATAACCAATAAGAAATCAATTGGTAACTCCTATAACATTTGTGCCACTATTGCACCCATAGACATATCTTGCCATGCTGGTCATTATAGCATGTCAAAGCATTCACAGCTATAACACATACTTTTTACTAATATAAAATGTTGTGATATACTTTATTTTTATAAGCTTTTTCATTTACTT